TTGCCAAATTGTGGTGTTCTTCAGCAAACAACCGCCCTTGAATGCGGCGCCCTTGGAACGTAGTGTGGCTTTGTTTGACGTTTGATGCTTTGGAACTTCAACCAAGAAGGGGACAATGTGCATGTTTTCTCATGAGTGTGTGCACTATTGTAGTTTCACAAGGGGCGAGTGGGAGCGCAAAACTTCTGTATTCCTATTCCGGCAATCATGTTGACAAACTCGGATCACGAAAAAAATTGTCATCGTGACCCAACTACCAGCTCCTGAAAGCAGTCTGGAACCTTTGGTCCACTGATCGACTGTTGATACCAGGAGCTTCAATTACGCTATCAATGAGACAGCGTAGTGAACCTCTCTGCTGCCATAGCACGTTCTCGATGACATTGGGTCGCGGTGTTTCAGCCTTCGGGGCCTGCGCGGCTGGCAACCGTGGGCACCCCCGTCTCCATCTTGCTACAGCCTGCGATACCAACATGAAACTGAGCCTTTATTGTCACGCTTGAGCGTGCAGCTTTTGGAAAGTCATACCTCTTGGTACTCTTGCCTTCCATTTCGTGTCGCTAAACACTGGCAAACCAGTAGCGAAATTCAAGGGCGTTTGTGCCTGCAACTTCGATAGTTTGTCTCCCTTAGTTGAAAAGGGAGAAAGAGAAAATGAAAAAATGCTGCAACATCTTGACTCATTGATGCGCAAAAAGTGGCTTCGTCCTGTTATCTCGAACTGCCTGAATCCGGTCCAATGTCCATAATCGAAGACCATAGAATTGGAGTCAAGTCGGCAGGGTCTCATAGTGCAATCTGAGTCGGCGGCAGCACCTTTGGCTGCGGAAGACACCTCCAGTTCCACCACATCGGTTCTGCAACTCAAGCTGCCAACATGCCTAGGACATATATATATATATATATGTGCACACATCTGGTGGTTGATCAATATTCTTTCATCCTGGAATGGCCAGTCATCGCGGAAAAAAGATGTCTTTCGCGGATCTTTCGCGGCCTCATCGCGAAGCATGGTCCTACAGCCATGTCTAGCTAACATGAGCCGGAACGTGTCATAGTATCACAAAATAGGGAGAGACATCTTGCAGCATGACCCCTGTAGAAGGTTGAACGTTTCCACAGCTACGCAGGGTCACTTGCAGCATCTGTGCGACAATTGTGCCAAATAGAGTCAGGCGCAACTCAACCCAATCCTCGTGCCAGCTACCAACACAGACTGATGCAGCTTGGGGAATGTTGGGGGGCCTCAAGCTGGGAACCTAGATTTTAGCGGCACATTCGCGAAACTTTCGCGGCTCTTTCGCAAAATTTCACTGGTGCTTTCCCGGGAAGCCGTAACATTTGCAAACATCTGCACAGCCCGTCAGAGCAGCTGCAGGTCGTTGCCTCACTGTCAGGGCTTTGCCTACCCAGATTGCTAGTCTGTGACAGTGGGGACAGGAATCGGAGAATCCTTTACGCACTGCCAGGGCTGGGCACGGAAATGTTGAGGCTTCAATTCGTTAGTCTGTGACATACGGGGACACTTCCGCCCACTGGCTCTAGCGGAGGATTGCCTTGCGTTTCTATTCTTTGTCAGTCCGGTAGAAAGGAACACACATGAAAGCGATGACCTTCGATAAATCTTTCGCGGAAAAAAATACTTTCGCGAACCTCATCGCGAATCTTTCGCGGATGGTTCTAACAACATCTGAAAGGCTGTTTTATATAAAACTCCTGACATGGGGTTTTCGATCAACTCCCCTATATTACCCTTGGGCCCTGGGATGCCACAGCACAAGAATCCACCATGGTGCTTAACATCCTCAACGAAAAGAATGGTTGAGCAAAATCCAGCTGGGGTGGCAGGACCCCCAAGATTAATCCGCCCGCACCGAAGGTGCCGAGGGCGTTGTGTAGGCTCGTGTAAACATCGCAAGGAATCCGGCTAGATAAATCCTAAGCTTTAGCTTGGGGGGGGGCATTTTTCTCCTAGAAATGCTGTGTTTTTCAATGTTTTTTGAAAATTGATCAAAACTGGACCAGACGTTGGTGATGCCGGTTATGCCGATCGGGCCAGATCGCATAATTGACATCACAGACGTCTCGGGAAGCCAAGGGGCACTGCACTATGGATATGCGATGCCGGTTATGTCGGCCGGGGGAGAGTCGTTACGGACATCGCAGAAATCGTAAACGTTGAGGAAAAAGTGTGGGATACTGTACGACTGATATCGTGGATGTGTTCGGTCGTGTGCCAGTCCGACTGGATGAGGTGAATGGTATGGAGTATGTGGTTTTTTTGATGTTTTTTGGGGGGAACAATCGCATACGCGGCGCTGCGCGCACTTTTCGTCAACACAACGGAGCTGCACGGATGGTCTCGCAGCATGGCACCTTATCAGACTGGTCGGAGATCGTGGGATAAGTGTTGCGATTGTTGTCTGTGCTGAGGACGTGGCCCATATAGAGAATCGTACCTGGCACGGAGCAAGCACAGCAACGGCATAGGTGTGACAAAAACAGAAAGAGGTAGGACAAATTTGCGACGTATGTGTGCAGTCTGCCCATTGCTTTCGACGCTGAGGGTGTGGCCCATAGAGAATTGTGCCTGGCATGGAGCAAGCACAGCAACGGCATATGTTCTGTGACAAAAACAGAAGGAGGTACTATAAATTTGCGATGTATGTGTGCAGTATACCAATTGCTTTCTATGCTCAGGATGTGGCCCATAGAGAATTGTGCCTAGCACGGAGTAATCACAGCAATGGAAAAGGCAAAGCTGCCTTTGTTTGCCTTGATGGGACGTGAGGGCATCCCGCGGACGGTGGGTAGGCACCTGGCGACAAAGCATCGACACGCAACCCCCGCGTCTGACGACGCAGATGTCTACGGTTGGTTTCGATGTGTCGGTTGCGTTTCTGCGGTTGCGTCGGGAACTGCTAGACTGAACATACCGGTTGCGGGGCAGCAGGAGCACGACTGGCCAGACTGGCAAGACTGGCGCCGGTCACGAAGAGAAGACTGGTTGCCACTGTCAGGCTCATGGGCTTGGTGGAGCAGTGACATTTTTCTGGTTCTCTGTGAGGATGTGTCCGCCCAGATTTTTGCGGACGCCAGGACATGGTTGTACCCGGAGGAACAAAGAGTCCCACGCGAATTGAACCAACGCACCCAGCAGATATTTCGCCCGTATTGCGTAAGCTGGCCGCTCGGACCGACACAGCGGAATGTAGAACTCTGCAGTCCCAACAGTCACTGGGTCCCATAATTTGTGAACTGTCGTCACGCAGGACAAGCTCGAACCTTGAGTGCGCAGTTCAGCTGCCTCCTGCGTCTGTCGGTAGCGCTCGAAAGCATCTCCAATTCTTAGATGGGCTGGCTTTTACTAACTAGTTATCAAAATTATCACAATTGTTAACCATATCATAACATGCCTCTAACCTATGTGTAACTATGTCTTAACATGTTAGTTATAACTGTTAAGACAGGTTATGCTTTTTACTAATTTTCACTAATTGTTATGTAATTATGTTAACTATGTTAAAAATTATGTAAAGTTAGCACAACTTATTAATCTTTACATATTGCCAAAAAAATATGTTTTCTTATTTGTAATTGTGCAGAATGTTGTTTTGCATGTTCAAGACTTTCATTTTTCAGCTGTGAAAAGCTGGCCTTTGGCGTTTAAGAATTGGTTTGTGGTTGGAACAAAACACACAGCTTGGCAGCATGTGTTTGGGCACAGCATGTCTTCAGCTTTGGGCACAGGAGGTTCTCATTGGACATGTGTACATTTGCGAGGGGTGTTGCATTTGTTGGAGAATCAGCACTGGTGGACCTTTCAGGCGCAGCCCTAGGCATGTTGAAATGAAAACCCACATTGGGTGAGGAGGTGTTTGCTCAAGCTTGAATTTTCAGAGATGGCAGAATGCCATGTCGAGATCACCAGACGGTTGGAGATTGGCTTTAAGGCCCAGAAGGTCCACATACCAGATGAGCTGGTTGCAAAGGACTTGCAGGGCGCATACTTGCTTGTTTGGTTTTTATGTTTAAACAACCAGGCCAGCTTCCCAACCACCAAACTTGTTTCGTGACATATTGCATCCTGTTGTCAAAATGCTGCTGCTTTCACAGCATGCAATGGCCTGCAAGGATGTGAATGGCGCTGAGTACCTCAAACTTCGGCCCACTTCTCCACCAATTGTGAAGCTGGTGTGTGGGAAGTGTGAAAAGAATTCAAGCCTCAGCAATGGTCAGTGCTTGAAAGCTTTGAAGGAGAAAAGGGATGCTGAGGTGGCAGCCAGCATGGCCCAGTCAAGAGAGCAAGGGTCAAAGAAGAGAAAGGCTGAGAGCATTGTGGACATCGATGTGTGTGGCACAATGGTGAATGTACTGTGCCCTCCAAAGAGGGTGTTGCACGCAGACCTCATGGTTTGCTTAGAGGCCAAGCAGCTGGAAGCAGTCCTCACCTTCCTGCAGCCAGACTGTGAGCAGTTGAATTCCAAAAGGGAACACAAGAGGACAGGAAGGTTCAAGAAGAACCATCAGTCTGAACAAGAAGCCTCAGAGGAATCTGATGAAGCTTCATAGAAAGAATCTTCAAGTGTTTGAAGACATGACTCATGTTGAGAGTGCTTGAGCAAAACAGGCCCTTTGCTGCAGCTTTTGTGTTGTACGTATCTCTTTTTGTTTTCAGCCATGTTGGCTATGTGCGTTGTTTTCGGCCACGTTGGCTTCCTCGAGCCATGTTGGCTCTGTTTGTATTTTTGTTCAGCCATGCTGGCTGTGTTTACACAGATGTTTTCAAAGGCTTCAACTATGTAGCCTTGGTGTTAATCAATCTTTTGCATTACATGTGCTGCTACAGATGGCTTCAGAGCCTGTGGTTTGTAAGAGTGATGCCAGGCTGTAACCAGCTCCAAGGCATGGCAATGTACATGTAAAACCCAAAAGCAGCAGAACGGTGAGGCGCAAGTCCCAACAAACCAGCCAACACCTTAGGTTGAGTGATTTGCGCCATGGCTGTGCCTGAAGCTGTCCAGAAGGAAATCAAGGATTTGCTGGACCCTGCAAACACTTGTGGGGAGCATGTGAAGCTGGAGAAGATCCTGCAGTCCTTGGAGAAATTTGGCTTAGTATACAAGGCAGTAGTCTCTCCAAGAGAGATGCTGTGCCATCCAGACAACAAAGGGACTTCAATGCGCAACGCGCACAATTGCCATATGAAAGGAGAGCAGGTGTTGAAGAGTGGGCTGAACAAAGACCTTTTGCCACCCAATTCTTTGGGGATAGAGCTTGCAGTGGGCAGCGCAGACAGGAGAAAGCAATTGGAGGCCAATGAGCAGATGGTTGCCCAGAGCAACAGAATGCTGGCACCTTTGAGAGGGTGTGAGCGGTTTTTGGGCCTTGCTAGTTCTCATTTCAACCAGTTTTGCAGAGCTCTTGACCATGGGTGCCTGAAGGCAGATGGAACAGAGCTGCACATGACACCAGACATGAAGAATCTGGTGGAGTCTGGCTGGCAGTGGACAATCTTGAAGGCAGAGGCAGCTGATATGTTTCCTGATTTGCCAGCCTTTTGCTCCATGGGCATGAATGCTCACAACAGCAACACAGTCCTCGGCAATGAGTTGGAAGTGATGATGGAGTTGGCTGCTTTGCACAGAAGTGGGATGAAAATGGCAGATGCAGTTCAAGCTGTTTGCCAGAGCAGCCCTTCATGCAAAGCATACAGACAGGATTGCGCCTACTTCATGAGACTCTACTCTGGAGGGGAAACCTTCCCCATGTTGCTCTGGTTGGACAAGTTCTGTAACTTGGTTTGCTTGTTGAATCAATCTTTGATGTACCTGGGAGGTTTCCCCTGAATGTAGGGTCCTGAAGGTATTCAAAGCAGTCTGTTGTTTTTTCTCTTGGCCAAGGTAAAGCTTCTGGTCATTCTCTTTTAGTGGGGGAAGAGAACATGAACTTGCTTGCATACTACAACTTCAAGTTGCCTGGGTGCCAGCTGAACTTTCTTCGCATCGCACTCCTGGCAACAATTTTGAGTTCAAAGAGACACCAGGATGGGATCTCTAAGTTGGTGTTCAAGTCTGACTTCGACAAGCTGAAGGGCAAGAGCTCCACCAAGATTGCTGGCCAAGGGCTGGCAATCATGCCAGAAGGCAGCAGACCTGGCGCTTGGTGAAATGTGTTTTGGCAGGTTCTGTGTGCGTGTTGCGCTGTATGCCCTGCAGAAAGAGAAGCATGCAAGAGATGGATTTTGCTTTGAATCCTTCCAAGCAATAGTGGAGGAGCTTTCCATGGAACTTGAAAACAGTGCAGGCGCTCCAACCTCAAGCGCTGTAGATGCCAAAGATGGTGAAGCTCTCAAAGTGAAGGACTTGGCGCAAGCAGACCCAAATGAAGTAGCCATGTTGCAGAATGACCACATCATTGTGGGCAAGAATTACTTGCACAAGGATTACAAGGACCAGGTTTTCACCTTGGAGAGCATAAAGGATTGCTCTGGTGTCTTCAAGCATGTTCCTTTGTTTTGTGATGAAATCAAGGTTGTTGCCAGCATTGAAGGGCTGAAGGATTGGAAAAGAACAAAAAGAGAACGTTGCCAGCTATGCCCCACTGAGAGTGTGAAAGCTCGACTTCCTGAAGCTTCACCACTAGTATTGGATGAGTGGGCCAAGCAGTGCGCAGGCCATTTGTTGGCAGAGGCTTACAAACAGAACAACAAGGCAAGTCTGGATATGGTGGCCTTCACAAGTTTTCCCAATGGCTTGGTTTCTTTGAAGAAACTGAAGGTGAAGGAGCTGCAGATTTACCCTGTTGGAACTTTGACCAAGGTCAAAGAACAACACAAGGTAGATGAGCTTTTGTCCAAGGGTGCAGTGGTTGTCAAGTTCAAAGAAGTAGCCTACCAAGTGCAAGGCTTCAAGGCTTTCAACCCCACCAAGAAGGAAGAGTCAGGGGTAATGCGTGCATACTTCTATATCAAGGCCAGTGAAGAGAATGAGGAAGCAAATCTCAATGTCAGCTGGAAGACCTACCAGGATCTACATATACCAGTCTTGGAGAACTCCAAGCAGATCGAGAAGCAGGCTCCCCTCTTGAAAGGGAAAGAGGCTTGTGCAGCACCTCCTGCCAAAAAGGCTAGGAAAACCACTTGATGCCAGCAGACCAAACCAACTTTTGCATCTGTGCGCCAAAACAAGTGCATCAAGGGCATTGACTTTTTGTATTGTAGTATGTTTGCAGCCACTTGTTTGGCTTGCATTATTCATTACACTGTTGTTTATTTCAGCCAGAGCTTGGCTAAATTGTTTTGTTCAGCCAGTGTTGGCTTCAAGTTGGTTTTTGCATATCCATTTGTTTTCTCAGCCATGTTTTGGCTAATGCAGTTTCTGCTTGATTTCTGTTTCAGCCATGTTTTGGCTACTGCAGTTTCTGTTTGTTTTCCAATTGTGTCCAGCCACTATTTGGCTTGTGTTTTCAATTACGGTTGCAATGCTTTGTTGGTTGTGTTTTCCAGCCAACCTTTCCAATTGCTGTTGCTCAAGCACCAGCTTCCTCTGTAGTGATGAAAAGGGAGGCTTCTTGCACAGAGGCCAGTGAGGCCAAGAGGGCCAAGTGGGATGAGTGGGAAAGCTGGAATGATGAGGGGCAGGGTTGATTGTTTTTGGTAGTTTTTGATAGAGATACAAAGCCAACCCAACCAAGTGTAGTGTGGCAAATGTTTTTCTCAGGAGTGTTAGTATGGGCTGCAGTTGTACACTCTTGCGCAAATCTTGTAGGTTCCAGCAGCACCTCATGAAGATGTAGTGGCAGATGTGGCCAAACTTTTGGAAGCGCATTTTGCACAACAACCAAAAGAACAAATGAGCGCCACTTGGATATTGAAGAACTGTCAAAACCTTTTTTGTGCGTCTGTGGCCCAGATGGTGAGCAACCATGCCCCCCAACCTGAGTCCAGTGTGTGGTATATCAGAAGTCACATGCCTTCATCTAAGGACCTGGACTACATGATTGAGCTGGAGAAGGCACAACATGGTCAGGCTGGGCTTCATCAGCAGGATGCACAACCTGCTGACTGAATGGGTGGGCCTGTCTTTGGGCAACCAGCTCTTCAGGAACCACCAAAGCAGAAGCCAGGTGTTGAGAAGCCAGACCTTGTCAATGCTCCATGGCACAAGCCCCCAAAAACTCCTTTGCCAAACACTTCCACTGAGCAGGGTGGTGTCAGTGAGCCTACAGTGCAAGAGCACCCAGTTGATGACCAAAGTTCTTCAGGCACCAAAGCTAGGACTCAAAACAGCAAAGCTCAAGTGGTGAAGGGTGCAGCCACATTGGAGGCTGAGAAGGTCATGGCAGACAATGCTGAAGCCTACCCATCTGCTCAAAGTCGACCACAGCTGAAGTCATCACCTCAACAAATGTGGCAGCAGCTCTATGGTGATGGTGGGATGTTGAAGAAGAAGGCAGGGTGCCAATCTTAAGTGGCTACACCAAAAGTTTTTGTTTGTAAAAAAGGTTTGCCAAGATTTCATGTATAGATGTTAAAATCAAATAGACTTAGACACATGTACAATTTGTTGGACTGCTGGGGGAAAGTCAAGAAGATACTGCCAGACCATGGAAGAATGGAGGAGATTATGAAAGCCATCAAGGACAAGGTCGAGCAACATGGATGGCCTGCTTGGTCTGACCCAGACCCTACACAATGATCTCATCGCATGGTGTAAAAGAGAAAAGGAACTCAATGATTGAAAGTTTTGGCTTGTGTGAAACTATGAGACTGTGAGCTCAGCCTTTCACAACTGAAAGATCAACTAGATATATTTCAATTTAGATATATTCATATGTTATAAAAATTGCTAAATCGAAATGAAAACATTATTCATTTCAATTTAGAAATCTAAATTGAAATCAAAACATTCTTCATTTCAATTTAGAAATCTAAATTGAAATGATTCTAAATTGAAATGAAAACATTCTTCATTTCAATTTAGAAATCTAAATTGAAATGAAAACAGTCTTCAGTTCAATTTAGAAGTCTGAATTGAAGTGAAAATCAATTTTGATTTTTATTTTTGCTTCTCAATAAGAAAATAACAAAATACTATATTTCATAAACCTTTACCTTAGATTCAGTCAAGTTGACTTATCTTTTATGTGTCTATTTGATTTCATTTCAGCCACTTTGGGCTTTGTTTCTGTTTTTTGATGTATGCATGAATCATCTGCAGCGTTGCAGTGCTGCTCAAGTATGCTTATAGTGCAGTGCTGCATTGCAGTACTGCTGCATTGGATCTGTCATGAATAGGATTGATGATGGCAGGCGCTTTGCTGTGTGGGCTTCAGTGAGCCTAGGTGTTCGAATGCGCATGGAGCTTTTTGGTGGGGAGGCCTTCATTGTTTGGCAGAGAGATGAGCAGGGCGTTGAACACCTGGTGTATGACAGCAACAAGCCCAATGCTAGCTTTTGGTCAGAGATCTTTGAGGTGTTTTGATAAATTAAACAACACCTTTGAAGATATGTTTTTGTTACCATTTGTTACAGTTTATGTGTTGATTTAGTCCCATCATATTCCATTGTTAGGATGCAGAAACCTTTTGGCAGAGCTTTGAATAAATTCAGCAAGTTCTTTGCTACTTGTATTCCCTTTGATAATGGAACCTATTCTGACATGTTTTTTATTGTCAAGCGCTAATCCTGCAGATCCATGGGGGATAGGATAGTTGTCAATGACCCAGTGATGAAGCGCTTGTTCACAGCATGGGTGCTGCAGGAGGGGCATAGCTATTGCAACTCAGCTGCTGGGCACAACCTTGACACCCTCAAGAGGTTCTTTTGCCCAAGGGCCAGGCTTTGAGCAGTTCAAGCCTGGAGGTCTTAACAGATTTTGGAAGAAGAGATGAAAAAGTGTACTGCATGCTGGGAGCAGCATCTTGTATGTTTTTTGGTGTTTTGTTTTTCAGCCTGGTTTGGCTTCTTCGATGATGGTTTCTAAAGAGAATGCTTTGGGAGAAGACTTCTCATTTGTGAGACAGCCTCACTGTGTTATGCATCCTTTTTGTTGCTTTACCACTTTCTTTGACATGTGAACAAAAACAGTTGACAGATACACTGCTATGCTCACAGGTGCACACTGTGTTCTTTACTCCATCTTGCTGTAGAATCTTGCCAGCAATGGTGCAGTGGACAGTGGAAGACATTGTCCAGGAGGTCAAGCACCTGGAGACCATTGGTACCATGAGGAAGGAGAGTAAAATTATGGAGACCATGGTCAAGTGTCTTGTCTCCAAGCTCCAGGCCATTGACACAGTGCCTCCTTCAGCCTATGTCAAACTCATGGGTTGCTTCAGTGAATGTAGTTTGCTAGAAGAAATCACAGAGCAGCTTGCAGATGCCTTGAAGGAGAAAAGTGTAGAAACAATGGAAGGGCATCTTCGACTACAAGCTTGCCCCCAGTCCATGACCAATGTTTTCAACTACCTGTCAAAGACAGAGTGGGAGAAGATTCAAACCTTGACCTTTGCAGAAGCATGCTCTGTGCTGGTTTGTCGGTTGAGGACAGTTGGCCTGAAGAGCATGAAGGAAAAACAAAAAAACATGCCACAGCCCTCCTGGTCTACCTCCAGGAGAAGCAGGGGCACCAGTTGCCCACAGCTGGTGAATTCTACAAGTTGGCAGAGAATGTCAGAGACACCTTCAAAGCTTCAGAGCAAGCACCTGCAGTGGGTAGCTACAACAAGTACCCTATGGCCCCTCAAGAGCTTGGACAGGACACTGAGAGGGTAAATGTGCATCTGTTTGATTGTTTAAGTTTATATTTTGTGGTAGGCTTGATGTCAGTGGTGGCCAGACCATTGCAACTCCCATAACCTTCCAGGACTTCCTGCAAAAGGTGTATGGCGATGATCTTCCTGCAAGAATTCCACAAGAAGTTGCAGGTGCAGTGCTTTCTCTTGCTGGCAGCAGAGGAGTCAGGAATTCTCACAAAACTTTGGTTCCAACAAGCAGTGGAACAAATGTGTCCAAAGGTGCCTCACAGGTCGACCTAGGGATGCGCAACCGAATGATGAGCATTATGGAAGGCCTTGGCAGCATGCTTTTGAAGGCCAAAGAATTGGATACCTGCAACATCCAGCTCATGCAGAACAAGAGATTGGCAAGTGGCTCCAGTTCTGAAAGCCTGCGCCAAGATGACTCTCAAGAGGCAAGCGCAAAGACCATGGCATTACCAGCTCCTGCTGCAGCATTACCACTGACCAATGTGCCTGCTACACCAGCTGATGCACCAGCAGTGAATGAGAATGGCAAGCATGACAACGACAAGCAGCCACCAAAGGATCTTGCAGACTATGAGAATGAGGCCTTTCAGCTGCTGGAATCTAGGTTGAAGAAAGGTATGAAGAGGCCTTGCGCTTCTTCAGAGAAGCTTTTCTCAGAAGCCTGGCACCAAGGCCAAGAGTCAGAGAGTCAAGGAGGAGCAACAAGCAAAGCAAGAGCTACCTAAGAATTCCAAGAATGTCAAGAAGTGCCAAGGATGGGGCTGCTTGCGATGCAGGGGAAATGTCAATGGCTGTAGCAGTTGCTCTAAGAGCAACTTTGAAGGACTCAAATTCTACAGTCGACAGGAGTGGGTGCAATACCACCAGAAGAATGGTGGAAAAAGTAAGTGAGGGTTCACTCTCTATCGGGAGTGCTGGGGCTTTTGCGTTTTCTGAAACATCTGGGGAAAGCCTCAGATGTTTCTTTGGAGAGTGGGGTAGCTGGTTGGAAAAAGGCTTGGCAGGCTTGCAGCCTTTTTTGCAAGGTGAATGTGGTCAAGAATTGTTTTCCATTTTTGTCAGCCAATTTGGCTTTGCAGCTGGAATGGGTTTGTTTCAGCCATGTTGAGGTGTTTTTCTCAGCCACCTTTTTGGCTTTGTTTTGTTTCAATTCGGTTTGTTTGGAAAGTGTGAGCCATTTGTATATGCTGCCACTAGCTGCTCACTATTGTTTCAATAAGCCACAGGGAGTATTTTGAGTTTGTTTGCCAACCCCACACAGCTTTCATCTACAGAAGCTGTCCATCAGTTCCCAACAAACAGCTTTCAAGGAAAACATGCCAAGCAGGGATGACTCACCACTTCATGCCATGATGGCTTCCTCTTCCTCTTTGTCTGTGCAAAGCCTAAGGGCCAGGGTTCCATTTGTGAGCCAGTCTGCCTTGACAAGCATCCTTGACATTGTTGCCAAGGAAGGTGTGCCAGAGCAGCGCAAGAGGAAGCACATCTATGATTCAACCAGGCAAATGCTTGAGAGAATGTGCTTGTATGGACCATTAGTCATGTCAGCTGTTGCTTACACTTTGTCAGATCAGGCAGTGGAGATCACCTTTGTAAATTTCTTGTCATTGCTGGCAGGAACATATGCAATGGCTGATTCTTGGGCTGATTACTTTGACAAGGTGCATGGTGAGTTTCCCAGCAGCTATGCCAATCCTTGGGGCCTCATCTGCTACGCAGACGAAGTACACCCAGGTAATCAATTGGCAGGGACTGCTAGAAAGGTCTGGTGTGTGTACATGTCTTTTGTACAGTTTGGGAGGCACCTTAGCAAATCTGAATTGCGGTGCACATTTAGAGAACATTGTTGGAGGGAATGCACTGGGGCATCCAAGCAATGGACTGTTGTTGAAAAGAGGGGACAAGAATACAAGGTTATTTTCAAATTTCAGATGTGGCTTCAGGATGGCCAGGCTCAGAAACTGACATTCTCCAACAAGCAAGACAGTGGAAGCAGAATTTGCCAGAGTTGCAAGAACTTGTTCATTACCAGAAGTGCAGATGATGCAGAGGAAAATGGCGACAAGGAGTTGTCCAAATACATCAAAAAGGCAGACTTGCAAATGAACTCTGACAAAGAACTTGTGTCCTCCTGGAGGAGGATGAGGGATAGACAGAGTACTTGCAACAAGGGGCAGTTCAAGTCCTGGCAGCAGGCAGCAGGTATAGATTTTTCAATCTATGTTTTGTTGATGTCTGATTCTTTGGATTCACAGAACATGCTTCGACCAATTTCTGGTTATGTATTCTTTGGATTCACAGAACATGCTTCGACCAATTTCTGGTTATGTGCATGACTTCATGCATGGCCTGCTTTCAAATGGAGTCATGGGATGGGTGGCATACTTGGTCATTTCAACTGTGTGTGAGAATGGCCTCCCACAAATTTTGTGGGTCCAGCCAGGCTTCAGGAGCAACCAGAATGTGCACAGGTTGTTTGACAGCAAGCATGTGGCAAACCACAAGAAATCCAAGAAGATCAAGGCTTCAGCAGGGGGGATCCTGGAGTTGTGTCGACCATTGGCCTACTACTTGCAAACATGCGCACTGAAATTTGGCATTTGCACATTGGAAATTACTTGCTTCCTGAGTTGGCTTGCAGTGCTTGAATTTTGCATTGCTATTCCAGCTCTGCAGCATCCACAGCCAAGTGTTCTGCAGA